TTGATTCTGTTAAATCAAATAAAACTACAGAAAGTACAAATTTCTTTTAATGTTAGTTTTAAAAATAATTTAAACTGATTATGAGGTAATATTTGTATAGAAAAATTTTAACCATTTATAATGTACATATTCTAATTACTTTTATATTTCAAGGATGAAAATTGTATAATAATATTTCATTGATGAGCATATATATATATATATATATATATATATTGTTGTGTAGTGATTTTGTTCTTATTAGTGGTTGAGACAGTTCTTATTAGATAGAAACAATGATTGATTTGAATTGCATAAATAAATTTCTTTTAGTTTTGTTTATGTTTTAATTTTTTAAATGATTTGGTAAGTATAATTAATTTAAACACTGTCGAGTACAATTAGACTAACATAAATATCAATAAAAAAATTCTATGTTGATTGGTACTAAATAAATTGATAATAATTCAAGACGAAGAATAAAAGAGATAAGCACGCTTGGACTTGTTCAATTTGTTGAATTTTGGAATATTTTAAAATTTGTATTTTACTATCATATTCCAGCCCTGTGGGGGAGGCGATAGAGCCATTAATAGGGCAGAAGTGAAAGAGATTCGAAATAGACATACCTAATGCATATATAAGCTGCTATATTATGACACCACACTATTAAATCCTTTTACTTATGATGCAATTAAAGGTTTTGAAAAGAAAATACTATGAGAATTTTAATTCTTTTAAGTTTAAATTTTATATTGTATGCAGTGACGAATCTATAAATATTTTTTTAGGATAGACACATATATATTAATAATATAAAATTTCTATATAGGGTGAACAAAAATAAAATTTAATGGTGAGTATCATCAATAAAATAAGCAACTTACATAAAGAAATTTGAATTTCAAAATGGATAGTTCACCCTAAAACACACTTACATTCGTCATTGATTATATGTAAATTTAGTTTATTTTAATTTTAATAAATTAATTTAAGTTAAATTATTTATTTAATTGACTGTATATAATAATTAATTTTGATTTCAACTCAAGATATAATTATAAATTAAAAAAATGAAATAACAATATCCAAAGATTTGAACTTCAATTGGAGCTTGAATTAAAATCATTCCTCTCCGTCTTCATTATTCTCGTAATTGATCAATTGTTCAAAGCCAACAAAATTGCATGGAAAAAACCTTAATTTCATCGCATGTAGGAACCTGTCAGACACTCGTTTAGAAAGATGATTTAATGATAGTTGAATGATATTGTATACATTACTTTTCGCTTATCGTTAAATTTCTAAAAAATATATTATAAATATTTATCACAAAAAACTTAATATCATTATTTTTGTTATGAATATTCACCAATATACATTTAAGAATAAAGGATTCATATATGGAATTGAAATGTACCTTCAATTGAATCTACTACAGTTAGGGTTTAAATTAGAGTTGATAGATGCCACTTGGAGCTATAGGTGAGCTTCGATTACTATCTAAGTTGGAAGCAAATTTATGTTGGAATAAACTGAAGTAAAATGGTCGAGCATTTTGGGAAGGAGAGCGACAAGAGAAAGCAGCAACCATTGAGGAAGAAGCAATTTTTTTTTCTTTCATGAAAGTACACAATCGTGGGGTTTACCATTTCTTTAACTAAAGAAAAATAGAAAAAAAAATGACACATATATACGGTGTGACTCATCACCTATACGAAAATGGTTTATTTAACCATCCAAGCATGAACTTTTATATTCCTTGCAGAATGGTCACTATTTTTCCATTTATCAATTCTATCAAGTTAGTCCTTATCAAAATTAAATATTGATTCCCTTCAAGTTTAAGTTACTCAAATTTAAACTCGAATCTAATTTAATAAAATTTTAAAATTCAAAATTATTGTCATAAAATTATTTTTTGATCGTCGAAATCGAAAAATACTAAATCTATTTTAGGAATGTTACATGATATATATTTACATAGTTAATTAGGGAAAATGAGCCTATGATGTGATTTGGGAATATGATACTCTCTATGCTTGTGTATTTGTCAAGTATATTTCTTGGACATTTATCTTTCCGGCCTGCTCCATTATAGTAAGCATCTTGGGCCTCCCTTTAGACCATTGTAACAAGAACCTATAGATATATATATTTATATAGTAATTTAAAGTTATTATAAGATAATATTTATTTATGATTTTTTTAATATATTGATAAGACACATATTATGTATATATAAATATTCAAACTTAACCCTCAAAAAAAAAATTTATCATTAAAGTCCCGTAACAAAATTTTTTAGTATATATATTTATAGAATAAAAAATGAGGAACATTCATTCTATTAGTTATCCCGACATTAAAAAGTAGGAGTAGTAATAATGAAATAATTGAATGTTTGCAGCACCCAATAATTAAAAAAAATGATAATTAAAGCCTGCATGACTTCAATTATTGCATGACATGGCTGACCTGCTCTCATCGTCTACTTGTGTTTCTCTTAATTGCCTCCGTTCTTCATAACCCACCTCACGCGCGTGGGCCCTCTCCTCCCCTCTTATTTTATGAGGATCATTTTTTTAAATATATCATTTACTTTTTAAGTTAAAAACCGTAATTATTCGAATAGTTCATATGATATTTTTATTTAATTTTAAATTTATTTTTATAATATAAAAATAAATATTTTATTTATAACTTAATAAAAACTTTAGATATAATATATTTTATAATTCTAAAAATAGTTAACAAATCAATCCATGATGATCTTTGGATTTTGATTATTTATCACTCATTGGATACTAGTGGCGGATGCACTAAGTCCTCATATAGGTCAAATGCATCTCATTATTTTGAAAATGTGGTTAAATTTAGTTTAATGTGTTAAGGAAAAAAGAAAAAAATTATAATTTTTACGTACACATTATTTTTAAAAAAAGAAAATTAAAATTTTGTACCGTTATTCTTAAATTTCTATATTCATCACTGTTGGATATACAATTTGTGGATTTAATTTATTTTTGCTTAAAAGACACTAAAGAAAAGAACATTATTATTATTGGTATGCAAATATAATACGTACTCCTTTCTTTGGAATAGTGAAAGATGGTCTCCTTGTTTGCTAGGATTGAGCATAATACAAGGTAGTTTTTTAATGTAAATATCTCATGCTACTGTAACGTGACTGAGAAGTTGATTACTGTTTATATTCAGTATTGGTCATCTTTACATGTATAAATATATCGTACTTGAATAGATAAATTTGTGTTTGTATTCATTTATTTATTTTTAAAAATATTCATGTATAGTTCATGTTTGTATTTATTCGTTTAATGTTCACGAATATGTTCATTTAACGTTTATAAACATATTTGTTTAATATTCGTTTAATGTTCAACAACCAACAATCACTTTTTATCGTTTTATTTACTAGTCATAATGATAAAATGTGTCAGTAAATGAACTTATAAATGTGTCGATAAACGAGTTTGTTTATGAATATAAACGAACCGAACACACCTCCGTTCGTGTTCGTTCATTTATTAAATGAACATACAAATTTTCTTATACTCATTTATTTAGCTTAATAAAGATCATAATAAAACGTTATACGAACAATTCATCGAAGACTCAATTCATTTATCCCTCCTAGTTGTCTTTTCAACAAAATTTTATATCATTATAATAAGTTAATAAACTATAATTTATAATAGAATCATATATATTCATTCAAATAAATACATATTATTATAAAAAAAATAATGACATAAATAAAATTAAAAACTTTTTGTAATTCGATAATGTGTGGTATTCTTAAATTCTAGTGATAAATTAAACAAGTTAATTGATAAATAGACACAATAATAGTGTAAAAAAACACATGGAAGCTTAGGTGAAAAGCAAGAGTTGTGGGATAATTGTATTGAACCCAAGTGGTCAGTGCCAGGGAAGAAATGATGGATGGTGAGTGAGCGGTTCAAGGGTTCCGGTTCAGGCACATTGAATTGAATTACGTCATTGGGTAATTGACTACTCGGAAACTGGAAATCTTAAATTAAATTAATTGGCTATCATTTGAAAACAAACAAAACCAACAAACAGTGCCATTCCGCTATAATAGTGTTGGGTGAACAACGCTTCTTACTCATTCTATTTCTCCATCACCACCATAATAATAACATATATCACCATTTCTGTGACTCAAATTTAGTCAAAAGTTACTTTTTTTATTGGATAAATTATATGTTTAGTATTTAAATTATTATTTTTATTTTATTTTAGTACCTAAATCTTATTTTATTTTTTTTAAAATCATACATAATATTTAGTTTAAGTTTCATTTTAATATCCATCGTTTAAAATTTAACGATGATGTTAACGTATTATCATAAGGTAATAAATATCAAGTCATCATTGAAAAAAAATTTGTCACATGACAGTTTTGTTAGTTTTTAACGGTGAGATATCAAATTGAAACTTAAACTAAATCTTACATATAATTTTAAAAAAATAAAATTTAAATATCTAAACAGAATAAAGGTAATAGTTTAGATACTAAATATAGAATTTACCTTTTTTTATTTTGTATTTTGTTTAAAATTAACAAAATCTTCCCCTTGAATTAGATTATACATTCTTAATTGCAAAAGGGAAAAAGAAGGTTGTCGTTGTATTGTATCGAAAAACAAAAGCAGTAGGGCGAAAAGCCGTGTGTTTTCCCATCAATCTCCTGCTCCAACTTTCTTTTCATTTCTCTAAAATGTCAAAATAATTCAAACTCCATTGGTTTTTAATACCATTAACAAAGATTTTGCTTTACTGTTTACAAGACAGGAAATCTCTCTCTTTCTTCTGCATATATTTATATAGATTCACGTGCGTTTGTCAACCTGGATTTGTCGGTCAATCTCTCCCACAGAGCTAAAAGCTAATAAAAAGGAGTGTTGTAGGAGCAAGATTTTAATAGGGTTTACAGCTCCTTCATCAAATCAAACAAGACATCTCAAAGCCAAGGGGTTGATGGAGTTAGCTTTGAGCCTGGGTGATTCCTCAAAGCCATTTCCTTTTCTAGAAAAAACCCCAACCACTGATCTAGGGTTTTGCAAATATGCTAATAGAGATGGAGACCACAAAAGGGTTTCTTCAGATCCACCTCTTCATCTTCATCTTCTTCCTTTCTCTCCTCTTCCTCGCACGCCACCTTCTTCTCAGCTTCGCCTTCCTTGGCTCAATGATAATCGTAAGTCTATTTTATTATTTTGTTCCAAGCTTCATGTCTTCTCTTTTACTTCTGTCTTCAAACAGGAATTATATTTTTACTATCTGGGTGTTGGAATCTTTTTCATTATCTGACTTGGACAAAATGTTTAACTTTCTACTGTAACGTTAGTGCACGAAACGGGTTCATCGGAAGGACCGGTAAGAGGATTAGACGTGTACCGGTTACCGCTGGTGGTGGCGTTGGGGGATGAAGCCGAGGAAGGGGCGGCGCAATCGTCTCCGAACAGCGCGGTGTCATCCTTCCCGATGGGTTTAGGTATTACAAACGGAGGCAAGAGAAACATGGAAGCTGAAACCGAAAGGGGTAGCTCCAGAGCCAGTGATGATGATGAGAACGGTTCAACCCGGAAGAAACTCCGGCTCTCTAAAGAACAATCGGCTTTTCTCGAAGAAAGTTTCAAAGAACAAAACACCCTAAATCCCGTGAGTCAAAACAAAAACCGAACCACTCCTTTTATTTACTTCCCTTGTTTTAGGGTTCAGGTTTTGATTAATATCTTCTTTTAAAAAAAACCTTGGTTCAGAAACAAAAGCTTGCTTTGGCCAAACAATTAAACCTTCGTCCTCGACAAGTGGAAGTTTGGTTCCAGAATAGAAGAGCAAGGTATAAATACATAATTTTTTTTTATTTTTACGGTTGTTGGGTTCAATAATTGCCAAAATATGTGATTTTTTTGGGGTTGTTTTATAATATTGATTTCGAATAAAAAGAACAGGACAAAATTGAAGCAGACGGAGGTAGATTGTGAGTATTTAAAGAGATGCTGCGAAACACTGACAGAAGAAAATAGAAGGTTACAAAAAGAACTGCAAGAGTTAAGAGCTTTAAAAACTTCCCAACCATTTTACATGCACTTACCTGCCACTACCCTCACTATGTGTCCGTCATGTGAGCGTGTCGCCACTACTTCCACCGCCACCGCCACCGCTACCGCCGTCTCCATCTCTGGCAGAAATACGGATGCCAAAACTGTAGGAATCCCGTTTTAGCCACTGGAAACACATGTGACCCAGAGCCAGTCCCAATCCGACCAGGCTGCTTCGTGAAATCATTGGACGTGACCAGTCAAAATATGCTGTCACTTTTTTTTTTCTTTAGCCTATTTTGTACATCTTTTTGGCTTGAAGGAATTTTTTTTGTTATTTCCTTTGTTCAACTTTTTTTTATATATATTTGTCTCTCTTCTCTTGCAGTTTTATTAGGGATAAAAAGGTTTAAAAGAAAACGATATTTGAGTTTTTCGATAGATTTTGTTTAGAGTGGGGGCTCTGGAGGGGAAAAGCTATTTCCATAGAAAAGCTTCTTGTTTGTTTGACATGGAAAAAACTAATTAATACTAATAGTGATTGTCTTATTGTAATGTAATGGGTTCGTGGTTTGAGATTTGTTAGTAATACTGTAGTATTTTAGGTATTTGTACCAACCTATTATTTTAATTATTTAATTTGTTATTATGCTTTATATGTTTATTTTATAATAATATTTTTAAATAATATTATTATTTATTTTAAATTGTCTCTAATTTTTTATTATTATCATTATAGAAACAACAATAAATCAAAATTAGTATAAAATTTGATTGGTGTTTATTAGATGAAATGTTGCATGAGATATAAATTAAATTCATATATATTAGTTGAGAACAAATATAGGATCAACTCGTTTGATATTAATATGAATCAAAGTTACAAGTTAATCTCTAACGGTTGTATATTAAATATTTATAGTTGATATCGTTATATGTCTCAATATGAGGAACATTGTGTTTTGACATAATCAAATGTTGTCTTTAATAGTACAATTATAAAGCTTATTCTTAAACATAATAAAAATTATGTAACGAGGTACTGTATGATTAAGATGGAATTTATTCCTCTTATTATAAGAGATATATCTGTATACCTTTAACAATTGAGATAAAAAAATATATGGTTGTGCTCAAATGAATAAATTGAGATCAATATCATTTGTTTAGTCAGTCTAATTGGATATTGAAAAATTAAAAATGGAATGAAAGTTAACACTTTCTGTGTCTTATATTCTACTACAATATTGTGAGACAAAAGGATTATGTTATGAGTTATATTAATTTTGTCTCATATAATTAGCATTTTATTTAACTTTTATAGTCATAATGTCCTGTTAAAAGTCACTTATGACTTATGCGATTAAATTTGATTTAAACCTAATATCAACATTAATTGAATTTGTAGGATCACACATCAAGAACGAACAAGAATGATTATGTCTCATCATTCTCAGTAGTAAATTAAAATGATGAGTTTATTTTAAATTACAAAGAATATTTAGTTGTTGTTTGAATTTGTATTTAATTTGAAGGAATTTAATTCGTAATCTAAATAGTAATATCTAACTAGTTTGCTGTGTTTCCCTATTGTATTAAGTTGTTAGTTGCTCTGGCTACACGACTATCTCGACTATCTCTCACCATACGAAGGCGTCATCATTAAGTAAGATAGTGACACACTCTAATTTACTCTTGAGGGTGAGATGAAATTGTCTCAAAACTCTCATTGTCTCACTCAACCACTGATTTACTATTGTCAGGTCGTCATTATCTAAATCATAAAAGTCAACCATCTTATACATCTGAGTCTCTCAATCGAGAACTCATGTAGTGTGGCTACAGGTGGGGTATTGGCGGTGCAGTCTGAACTCTTAAAAGAGATCTCAAAATCTCTCTAAGTGTGGAAACCATATCTTTCAAGAAGGTTCCTCCTTGGCCCTCACATCCATCGAGACTCCACAATCCTTTATGTCATGAATAAACTCGTCATCGGGGATGAAGCTCCCTTAGGTCCTAAAGGGCCTCGGCGTAAAAATTTATATATTCGATAAATTTAGTTTATTATTATTTTGGTTTATGTAAAATTAAATATTCAAATTAAAAGATAAGAGAATTTATTGAATATTTAATTAAGTAGAGACCGAATTAAAGATGAATAATCTCATGTTCTCAAATTTTTTGGTCTAATAATAATTTAGGTCATTGTAAGTTTAAATATTAAACAAATTGACACCGTCTTCTGAATTTTTGAGTTTACATACCTAATAAGTCATTGTATATATATTTTTTTAAAATTCAATATTTCGATCCCTACCAATATTTAATCCTAACTCCATCTCTGTTCGTCATTAATATTATTGATATGAGAGACATGGATTTCAACAAATGAATAAAACTAATTGTTTTTATCTATATAAAAAAAAACTTTAAAAGTATACTTGCATATTTGTTACAACAAAATAGAATGTAATTTGTGAAGAACGCACTCTAGTAACAATGAGCGTGACATATAGGATTTCACTTATGTAGCACGTCTAGTTAACGAAAAAGTGGTTATAATTGTTTTTAGTATAATCACTTATATCTGATTTTTAATCGATTATTTGATTTGTATTAAATTTAGAGGACGGCCTTAAACAAATTTATTAGTGTCGGAACCGTCTTTCGGTTGGGCCCCGGAATTGGGCTTCGACTTGAAAAATGGGTTGGAGTCGCCACCGACCACTTTAAAACGAATTTATTTAGGTAGATCGGACACCATCTTACCTGATCTGTATTTTACCAGAAATGTGTCGGGTTCGGGAGTCGGTTACAGTCAAGGAAGGATTAGCACCCTTGAACTGCCCTTTCGGTACCAATTAATTTGTCGGTTGTCTTAATTGCGAAAATTAAAAAGTTTAAATTTAAAAACCCGATTCAAATTACTTACCTTTGATCGATTGAGATTATTACTGAAAATGGGTCAAAAACGTTAGATAAAAAATAAATAAATAAGTCTACAGAGCAAAAAGTAAAAATAAAAATGAATCAAAGGAAAAGAAAAAACATTTAATCAATTAAGAATAAAAAATAAAATAAAAGAAAAGGCCCAAAATAAAATAAATGTAACCTGCAAGGTAAAAAAATAAGTTTAGAATTATAATAAATAGATAAAAGAAATCAAATAAATAATAAAAAAATTAAAATAAACGAAATAAAAGGAAGGAAACCAAAATAATTGAGGGACTAAAGGGAGAGTTTGGCCAAAGTTCTAAACCATGTGGGGTTTTGCTTAATTTCATGCGTACAGGAGCTTTTTTCATGCATTTGCAATTCAATTTAAAAACCGACTTCTCCTGTTAGTGCTATTTTCCTGTTCAGTAACATGGTTGGCAACTGCTCCACACACCTTATCACCATACTCAAAGTAACGTGTACAACCAAGATGTATCTGATTTCCCCTTCTGGAAAGTCACGGTCCATCTGCCTCCATTAGCACAGACAAAGTCTTCCCACTTAGGCTCGATCTTATGTTTGAAACAATGAAAGTCTGCTCCCGCAGCCAACTTGCTCGGACGATGCATGTTATTGTAAAGGCTCCAGAGTTGTTCGATGGTTGGGAAAGTATAATGTGGCTTGTGGGTTATCGAACCAGAATGTCCATGAATGCTCAAGCGGGTGAGGTTGTTCGACGACATCTTCCTTCAACGACGTCGCAGACCGAAGCAACGCCAAATTTCGGATATAACTCTGAATCAATTGTGATTGCAGGCATTAAAAGCTGAAATTGTGTGACTTTTAACTACCGTTCCTTTGGTTCTTGATCTTCCATTTTTCTTGTCCACCTCGGAGATGGAAGAATTATTATCTCCAACGTTTTCACGGTCTAAAACACACGCGGCTGCGTTTGCTTGGAGATTGCAGCGTTTCCGACTATTCTCGGCCTCGGATGGAGTGAAACCAATGAATTTAAACCGTCTAAATGTGGTTCTACGTCTCCTAGACGAGAAGGTGGTTGGCACGGTGCTGGTTCTTTACCTTCGCTCATCACTCCGTCGCTTCCATAGACCTCGACCATCATTGATCATCTCTTAGTTGAACTTCGTTGGAGTTGATCTGCAGAAACGAATAAGAAATCCATTTGGGAAGAGAAACTGAAGTGCTGTAATGCAAAGAGTTGGAAGTCAAAGTAAGGATTGGAAACGGAAATTGCGTGAAAGAAAAGTTCAAAGCAAGGCAGCGTCATTTCCCTTGTTAATCCGCTTTGAAGTCATGAGATTCAATACCACCCGCTCCAAAGTCTCGACCAAACAATAAGACGGGTGCCAAAACTTGAGCTTGACAGAAAGGTAGCCGATTATCCTCAGCCACGCGGCACTCCCTTTTACTCTTTTAGCCCTCTCTAGCCTTTTCTCCCCCTTTTGCCAATCTCCCGTTGAAATAAATAACTCTGCCTCCAGCTTCCCACTTTCATTTCTGAGAGAAAAAGAAGGAAACATATGTGGATTTAGTTGAGACATGTGAGGTGGGGTTGGTTATGAGATAATGGTGGGTTAGTGGGTTGTTTTTTGGTTGAGATAATGGTGGGGTAGTGGGGTTGTATATGGGGCCTGTAAAATTAAAAAAAATATTATTAACAATAATAATAATAAGAAAAATAAAAAATAATTATACGATAAAATGCTTTTTTTAGACCCGGACAAAAACGGGTGTCTACAGCTGCCCCTCTTTGTACATTTTTGTGTTAACAAAAATAGGACAAAGATGAAAAAGACAACAAGTTTTTGTCCGGTTCTCTTGAGACTTAATAGTGTTTGTCGTGACACTAAGTCAATCCCTTGGGTACGATATCGTTCTTCGTGAAGTCGAAGTCGTAGATGACCCATTCGTTGTGAAATTGAGTCGTGAAGTTGAAATCCAATGTGTTGTTTCGATGTCAATATCCTTCGCTGTGAAGTTGAAATTGACTCTGAATGAAATTTTGTTGACAATCAGCCGCCCCTTCGTCGTGAAATTGAGCTTGTGTTGTCTTGGGTCCAAGATCCTTCGCTGAGAAGTCGAAATTGGCTCTGAAATTGGGAAGTTGTTTATTGACAACCAGCGGTCCCTTCGTCGTGAAGTTGAACTTGCGTTGTCTGGAGTCCAATATCCTTCGTTGTGAAGTTGAAATTGGCTCTGAAATTGGGAAGTTGTTTATTGACAACCAGCGGTCCCTTCGTCGTGAAGTTGAACTTGCGTTGTCTGGAGTACAATATCCTTCGCTGTGAAGTTGAAATTGGCTCTGAAATTGGGAAATTGTTTATTGACAACCAGCGGTCCCTTCGTCATGAAGTTGAACTTGCGTTGTCTGGAGTCCAATATCCTTCGCTGTGAAGTTGAAATTGGCTCTGAAATTAGGAAATTATTTGTTGACAACCAGCGGTCCCTTCGTCGTGAAGTTGAACTTGCGTTGTCTGGAGTCCAATATCCTTCGCTGTGAAGTTGAA